TCCCCCCGCCCCCCCGCCGCCCCCCCGCCCCACGGGCCGGGGTGGGGGGCTAGGGGTACTCACAGCTCAGGTCGTATTTCCACACTCCGTTCGCCTCTCCGAGTGCTCGGCGGTCACTACCGCCGACGCCTCGTCCACCGCCGCTTGCTCCAGGTCGCCGGCCCTTCTTCACCACCTCCCAGCCCCCGCTGCCCGCTGCCCTGGCCGCCATGACTTCGGCTCCGCCACCTCCCGGCCTTCCAGCCGCACGGCCTTCGCGCGGTGCCACGTAGCCGCTGCGGCCACCGCAAGGCAGGCTGGGACTCGTAGTCCGTCCGCGCCACCGCGCGGCGGGTCTGGGGTATGGCGGCGGCGGCCAGGCCCCGCCCCCGCGGCGCAAAAGTCCTTAGGCGTGGGCTCGGCTCTGTACAGCTTGGAAATGGGACTAGTCCCGTTTTTGTCTTGTCCTCGCTCCTCCCCCTCCTTTGGGTTTTTTGAGACAGGCTTTCTCTGTGCAGCTCTGGCTGTCGTGGAACTCTCTATAGACCAAGTTGGCCTCGAACTCAGAGGTCCACCTGCCTCTACCTCCCGATTGCTGGGATTAAACACATTCTTACAGGACTTGCAGTTCAGCTGTGGGAGGAATGAAGCCCTAGGAGGATAAGGGAAGGGTTCCTGAAACAGGTGGCAGTTGAGGTGGCTCCTAGGAAGGAAGGATTTTCATTGGTTGGGGATCACAGCTAGTGGAGATTACTTCTCTTGTACGGCTTTATTAATTTAGGCAAAGGTCTAGGGTGGTAAAACTAGAAGTAACTCAGCATGACGGGATTTGATAGGATTGGGAAAGGATCTTGGTTGCCAAATCTGGACTTTATTCTGTAGACCTTCGAAAACAGTGGAAAGGTGACATGGCCCTTAAAAAAAAACAGAGCGTGGAACTGTGTGAAGGATGGGCCGCAAAGAGGTACAGGCAGCAGGTAAGGGATGGCCAATGCTTGCAGTTCCTTGTGGGGTCCTCTGTCCCCTTTAGGCCTGAGCATGGCTGGCTATCTCAGGGAGCTCTGATATGTAATGTCTCTGGGCTGAATACCAATCTCTTCATTTCTCAGATCACTGATTACCTCAGACACAAACAATGCTCCTTTTGTTCAGTCCCTGCTGTGACATGTATGGTCATAGGAGAGGCCCTATTTGGGGAAGATAGAACTGGGTTTCCCACAGCAGCTTCAGGTGATCATCAGCGAGCACCCACACGTGTGCACACACCACACATAGATACACATACATAAATAAAAAATAAGTATTTGAAAAAGAGTCTGAATTCTAACCAAGGTTTCTACCACCTTGAGCAAGCCTTATCCATGGTCTAGGTCAGTGGTTCTCAACCTTCCCAATATTGTGGCCCTTAACATGTTTGGTGATTCCCCAACCATAAAACTTTTGTTGCTATTTCATAATTGTAATTTTGCTGTTATGAATCATAATGTAAATATCTGTGTTTTCTGTTGGTCTTAGGCGATACCTGTGGTAGGGTCATTTGACCCCCAAAGGAGTCATGACCCACAGGTTGAGAACCACTGGTCTCAGCAGTTCCCAAGGGGCTCACATCGCTTCCATATTCTTAGTCTTTATTGGGCTTCCGGGGCCTTGGCTATCATGGCTTTTTAGGAAACACACTCCAGGAGTGTGGGGCCGTGTGGACAGCATGGAAGTGTTTCTGAGTCCTTCTTCCCATTATACCTTGCTCTACACTTGGGGGCTGGGACGAGACCTGAGTGTCTGTATACTTGCTCTGGTTTTCACCCCCAGTGTGCACACATGCACACATATTCACAAACATTAAAGAAAAGAGGAACCATATAGACACTGCTGTCCTCTGGGCCCAGGCTTGTTTGTGGCACGGTTGCTGGGAGGTGTGAACAGTTTGACAAGCATTTAGTCCAGCCTTCAGGAGACTGGGACAAAACATTGCTTGACCAAGGACACCCCCGTCACCCCACAGACACTTTCTGGGCTGCAGACCTCCTTCTTCCTCCCATGGGTCCCCTGTTGTGGTGAGACCACTCCAAATCCTAGCTGGAGTAACTGTCTTGTAGCAAGCCACCATCTGGTGGGTCTGTGTGCTTGACTGCAGCAAGACAAGCCATGCTACTGCAACCATCACTTCTACTGGACGGTGTTTGCTAGAACTGGCTCAGTTCCTGGCAAGGACAAGGACTGAGTACACATAAACACAGTTTTCTCATCGTCTAGTTTTGTCTGTGCCTTATGCTGTCTGAGCTTTAGTGACCTCTGGCGCTTTAACACTAAGTAGTGCTCTGAGTCCAGGCTTGTGTCACTTCTGCTCTAGACAGAAGAACTGTATGAAACTGCTTGGTAGGGGTGTGTATAGAGAGGTGCTTTTGTCATCCACTGGCCTGTAAGGCATCCCTAATAAACTCACATTACACACCAAGATAATATGAGTATAATAATAATAATAAATACAATAATGACAATACAAGTAACTCATTACTCATCAACTGAAAAAGTCACATAAAACCTGCTTCAAGAGCGGTCACCAGCCTTGGTAGTTGGGTCTAGGTCAGAGCCTAGTGTCAGTGGTGGCTTCTAATAATGTGAGAATGTGCTGCATGGTGGATGGGAATGTGCTCTGAACCCTGGCTGTGGCTCTGTCGAGGGAAAGATGGCAAGAACTTTTACCACACAAATTTATTTAAATAAAAGTGAACACATTTGCAGGCTAGTGCCCTAGGGGCAAAGGTGGGGAGGTGGGAGAATGGGGGACAGACAGAAAATGGGGGCCAGGCAGAGTCTGTGTGGTATAACCAGGCTGCAGGAGGGAGTGGATAGGGAGCCTTGGGGCAGTGCTGGGCTTTGGTGCTGAGGCAGGGGCTTTGGGTGGGTAAACCCAGTGCCAGGAGGTCATTTCTATCCCTCACATGCTCCCTTCTCTCCCTGGACTCACAGCACTGCCTCCTCAGCTCCCCTGCCCCCCACCCTCACACTAGCTGTCCCCTCAACTACCAAGAGAGAAGTCAAGAGACAAAATAAATAAGAATTGATGAGTCCTGCCCCAGTCTTGGCTAGAGGGAAGGGGAGCCAAGCCAGGAAGACTTCCCCAAGCCCTGCTGTCAGCCCTGGAAAAGAACAGGTAAAGTGCAAGGACAATCCAGTAAGTAAAAATATACCAATGACTTTGTCAAATATACAGCTGCTGGCTGTCAGGGGAGCAGGTGGCTGGCTTGTGGGTGACAGAGGCACCCTGGAAAGTGTTGGCCAACACAGCATAGAGACAACGGAAATAAATAGGAGTGGGGAGTGGACAGGGGTCCTGGAAGTCCCCTGGGCCAGTGCCACTTGAGGGACCCAGTCAGGGCCTCATCCTCTCACCTGCCCCAACCTCCCAAACCCCACTTGCCCAGCTCCCAGTGCTGCGGCACTGATACAAAGCACCCGGCTGGCTGACTGGCTGTAAGGAAAGGACTTATAATGTGGGGTAGGCATGGGGTGGGGGCAGGGAAGCCACAGTCAGTCAGGACTGCTGCCCTCAGTACTCGTCCTGGTCTTCCTGTTGGTGTTCTTCAATCTCATCGTCCTCAGGGGGTGCAAATCCCTCCTGGTGGGGGGGTGGGGGGTGGAGAGAAACAGTAAGCCAGCTGGCCAAGCTGAGGGATAAAGTTCCACACACGGTCTAAGTGGCCAGGGGTTCAGAGGTCTAGTTGCTTTCCAGTCTGGCAGAGTAGTGGGAGGGAGGTGAGGAGGGGCTCACCTCGGTGGCATAGAGAATGCCAATGATGCCTGAGATGACAGGGCTGTTTTCGCTTTCATGTTCCTGGCAGATCAGCTCGATGTCACGCAATTTGCTGAAATAGAAGTCTCTTTCTTTCTCCAGCCCATCCACCGTCAGCTTCAAGTCCAGCAGCTGCTTGGGCAGAAAGAAATGTTTACACCAGATGTTCCTGCCCACCTTCCTCTTGTCCCTAGCACCAACTACCATTTCCCATCCCACTCACTTGCTGGTTGAGCTCAAGAATCTGGGCATCAGCCTCATGACCACCATTTCGGGCTGATGGGGGATTCTTCCGGAGGATGCAGGGTGGAGCCACGTTGCTGAGTCGGCCAGAGGTCTGCATATTCTTGGGGCCTGTGGGGGACGTCCTCTGCGGAACTGTCCAGAGGACAAGAGTCAGATGAGGTGACACAGCATATGAGAGCCTGGTATGAGGACCATGCAACAGGCAGGCACTCTCCCTCAGGAAGAGCATTTACAGCTAGGCCTCAAGCCTCAGCCACATGTGACACTGCAGCCACTGGACAGCCCTTTGGCAAGCCTGGGAGCGTAAGTGCCACAGGAAGCTAAAAGAAAGGTCATCTCAGTATTGGGACCTGAAGAGAGCTGACCTGAGGGAGGGATGCGGGATACTGGGATGGTGAATTTGATGAAGTAGAGCTGGGAGGGTTCAGGGCCTTCTGTACTGACAGATGAGACCCAGGAGAGCAATCGATGCAGTCTGTCCTAGCAGAAGCCAAAGCCCACCCTCAGTGAAACTCAGCCCCACCCCTCCAGCTGCCTCTCAGTTTGGGTTCTGTTTCCCCCTGCTGGGCTGGACCGGTATCTGCGCAGTGGTGGAGGACTCAGGCTCCTCCCTAGCACAGCCTGCATGCTGTGGCTACTTGCTCTTCAGCGACTGCCCCTCCCTAGACAGCAGTTGCTTCTAATGCAAAGCAAGCAGTTCGGTGGGGGCAGGCCCAGGCAGGACAGCAGCGCGAACGGAGGAGGTGGCTCTGCTATGACGGGTCAGATGAGGGTGGGAGCTGCTCCCCTCTTTCCTGCCACAGCCTTGCTGTCACCACAGGCCTTATTGCTTCTCTCACTGCTCCTAGCAACCCAGCAAGGTATCAATTCTGGAAACTTATCTCTGGGCTATGGGATTTTGGAACAGATAAAGGCAGGATTGAGTTTGGCAAACTCCTGCTTTTGGGTATCCAGTGGGCAGGGATACATAAGGGGCTTGGATACAGGCTGCAGGCACTCAGCCTGATGGATCCACATAGTGGAGCCGTGCCCCATCCAGCTTGAGGCAAACAAGCTAGCTCATGTTATGCAACAAAGCATCCTGGGTCTCAGCAAGCTGCCACCATACCTGGTGCAGGTGGCTCCCCTCTTGGAACAACTTTTGCGGCCCTCTCACCCCAAATGGGACTCCCCATCTAGGTAAGCAGCAGGTGATGTCATCTGAACTCCGTGATAACAGTCTCCTCCAGGCTGGCAGGGCT